CCCTGAGATGCATTCCGCACAGTAAATCCCTTCTCGGAGACTGCTTCCTGGGGAACCCAACCTACGTCACCCACCCCCCACCAGATCCAATTCACAAATTCTCCTGGACAAAGCAAGGGGGCAGTGGGCCTTTCTCCCTGGCCCCAGCACATGGGCCAGCCAGGCCCTGACACCCACACAGCTGACTCCTGGCTCTGACCCCTGCCTTTTACCAGAGGCCCACATATGCTGAAGGCTTCGGAAGCAATGATCAGTAAAGACTCTTAAAACCTACCACCTTGGCTTTTGTCATTATCAACTGAGTTTCAGGGACCATGATGCCCAGAGATAAGAGGTCCCCTGTCACTGTGCCCCAAGAACAACCGGCCCAAGCCCCAGGCAGCCCCTCTTCCTAATGCAGAGACTGTTGCTGCCTTTTGCCTTGACAAAGGATATCATCTGACCCACAGAAGTGCAGGAGGCCAGACGGCAGCATGGCCAGGCAGGACCTGGAGACCGCGATGAATTTACATTTCTAACGGGTGCTCCCTCCTGCTAGAGGAGAAGCTTGCAATGGGATCGCCAGTAAAAGGGTCTGCTAAGACCAACCCGAGTGAGTAATTGCATCTGGGAATCTGTCCAGTCTTCTAGACTTTCTCAGGAGACAGCACAAGCTTGTGTTTAAGAAAGAACTAAAGACAGAAGAAGTTAGACAGGGCCCTTGCTGGGCAGATGGTGACTTTTTGCCAGCCTTGCAGTCCACAGAGAGGACTTCCATGAGACCAAAGGGCCACAGTCTAGGGGCAACGGCAGCTAGGCAAGGGAGGGGAGGCCTCAGTGAGTTAACTCACAGATATTCACTGGGCATCTACCCTGGGCCAGCAGCTGCTCATGGGGGAACTGCTGGGGGGAGTGGGGATAAAGGTACCTCTGCAAAGAGCAGGGCAGGAGGCTGGGATTCCAGAAACCATGGCCAATTCCCAGAGCGGAGGTGAGCACAACCTACAAAACACAAAGAGCAAGAGAGCTGGGGCCGGAATGCTGAGTGAGGCAGGCCTGCTGTTCTTGAAAGCCCAGGCCCCTGGGGACCCTACGCCCAGTGATACAAGGCCCCTGTCACTCAGGACCAAGAACAACTGAATACAAGCCCTGGGCGGCCCCGGACAGGACAGGTATTCTGGGCTTTGGCTATCAAATTAGGAGTGACACAGAGTCCCCAGGGGTACTACAGCATCCTTAGGGTGCCGCCTTAGGGAATCCCTGTGCGATCTTTCCCCCCCAATCCACCCTCCACACATAGTAGCCCATTTTAAAAAATGAAAGCATCCAGTAGGCTACAGGACCCAATAATTGGCTTGATTCATGGACCAGGAACGCCTCAAAAGCAAAGAAGTGTCTCCCCCTTTGTAGCTCCGGCCACTAGCAGGGTTCTCTTGCAGTTGAACAAGCATAGCCGGGCTTGCATTCACCTAACTTGTTCCCGAGTTCTCCTGAGACACAATGTTGGACTGGTGGGCACTCGTATATTCTATGCACAGATGCTGGAATAGCGCTATTTCAAACAGCTTAATGATAGTTGTACATGTGCCCTGAGCAAGGCTGTGTGAATAACTAAAATGTCACATGTCTTTGTTTTAGCTGCTACTCTATCAACCCTGTAGGTCTCATAAGCATGAGCCACATGCCAGTTAGAATCTCTGATGGTCAAGTATAAATTTCTTTGTTTCATAAAAATGAAAGAATGAGTTCATTATTACTTAAACTCTCTCTCGAAGAAAAAAATCTTTTAAAAACTTAAGATCCATGAGTAGTAGGAGGGAGGGTTGTTAAAGGGGGCCCTTCCTAAAGATTATTTCCTTGCATTTGAATAGAACAAATCCAAGGGCAGAGTTCCCTAGGTCTGAACTGGAATTCCCCTCTGGAGCCCAAACCCCAGAGAGCCCTGGACATCTCTCTATTTGTCAAAGCTGCAGACACAGACACACATCAAGCCTGGAGGAGGGAGGATCTCAAGAGTGATGGTGTCCACAGGGGCTTCTGAGATAAGATGAGGAGTCTTTATGGTTTCCAAAGGGAGGAAGCCCAGCTACAATCTCCCTGGCACCAAGAATTGGAGAGGTCAGCGGTCAAGGGCCCAGGGATACAGCTGCTCTCTGAAGACCCTTCCCTAATGATCAGCTACAAAAAATACAACCACAAATCCTGTATTTCTAACACAGTTCCAATTCCAGGAAATTTCATTCTCTTTAATCAATGAAAGTATACATGTGGCACATACATACATGTATGCATTTGATACACATATGTGCATGTATGTGTGCATATATGGGTACCATCCTCTTTCACCAAGGGAAGTCTATTATATACATACAAATATACACATACATATACAGGGATATACTTTTATACACAGACACATATATACATGTGTGTGCATAAAATATGATTTGAGTTATAGATTTATACCTGTCCTTTCACCAAACAAATAAATAAGCAAACATGAATTGATCCATCGGGAAAATTCAGTTGTCAGGATCCTTGTTCAGCTTTTACTTGGGAAAATATCACTTGTCATTTTGTGGGAGGGGTGTTGTCTAGAGCTGAGCAGAGGGCTGATGTGGGTCATTGGAGGCATGGCAAGGATGAATCAAGGCTGTTCTACTTTCCCCAGGACTCTGCTCTGTTGCCGGGTATGTGTGTGGGTGAGGGTGGGGAGAGGAGGTGCGGGTCCCAAGACCTGGGTCCCTCAGGGAACTGTGGCGCTCCAGGAAAAGCCTCAGTCCTGCGAATCACTGCCATGTGGTGCCTGTGGGATCAGACCACCTGCCTTCTAGGCCCATCTCCTCACTCACTAGCTGTGTACCTGGGTCTCAGTTTCCCCATCTGTCCATTGAGGACAGTCATACTGACCTCGTGGAATGGTCAGGTGAAGTCAGTGTGAAAATGACCAAAATGCAAGACAATTAGTGGTGATGATCAGGTGAAGTCTAGAGGGAGGCACTGACCCACAGAACACAGTTGGTCAATGAAGGACCTACAAATGAAATCTGCCCTTGGATTCTCAGACCAGAGCTCTTTTAAATGTACCAGGGATTTCAAAGTGGGATCCACAAATATACCATTAGAGGTTTCTCGGTGGTACGAGAAATTTTTTTAATTTGATGTTTTCATTTCAAAAATGGAACAGTGTTAGTGTGACCTTATTGGGGTTGACGTGGATGATCATGTAACCAAATAAAGCCTCGGGAATTCAGAGCTCAAGTTTACATTTGGGTTTACGATCACGTTTTTGCAAAATGAAGGCCAAATAACTTCATGGGCTGCTGTGCAAACAAAGGTTTAGAGATTGTTCAAATAGAGACAAGTAGAGGGAGGATTGAGTCATCAAACAGTAGAGGGGACGCTGACAGGCCACGTGCAATCAGCTCTGTGCTGAAGGGGGCTGAATCATAGTCACCACTTTGCAAGCAGGTGCTGGAGCGAACGCCATCTTAGTTTATAATGACCTGCAAGACAGCACTAACAGTAAAGGTACACAACTGAAACTGTCTTGCTAAATGGGATATATTTAATATTTTTAAGTTGTTATATTTTCGGGTGCTCTGTTAAATTGATGGGCCCACCAAAATCCTAGGTCTGTGGTTAAAAGTTTCTCCACTGTAACATATGAGAAATAATAATATTGATAAATTTTCTATATTAAAATACTAATAATATTGACAATCACTCTAATGACAGCCCAGCATGTTCAAACATCAAGACAATCTAGTCGATAACAAGCAGAACTTAAAATGGGAAGACATCCTCCTTCTATTATTAAACCCAACATTGGTTGTTTTACTCTCAGCAAAACATCATCTGTCACATTAAATTAATGCCATTAATTTGAATTTTAATAGTTTTGTGGTTTTGTTTGCATTAAATTTGTAATTGTGTTTTGGTATTATAGCTGTGTAAGAGCTAAAAGCATAAGGAATTTATACTTACTTTTATGTTTGTATATATTTAACTAACAATATGATCAAAATAATTTTAGTCAACACTGGGGGTCTGTGATAATGTTTTCCCTTTAAAATGCATATATTAGTCAATTTTAAGAATTACTGAGCCTGCACCATTACTGAGCTAAATGCACAAGAACGATTTAATTTAAAAAGGCACAGGTGAGTGACTTCCCTGGTAGCGCAGTGGTTAGGAATCCACCTGCCAACACAGGAGACACAGGTTCGAGCCCTGGTCCGGGAAGATCCCACGCGCCATGGAGCAACTAAGCCTGTGCACCACCACTACTGAGCCTGCGCTCTAGAGCCCGTGCGCCACAACTACTGAGCCCACGTGCCACAACTACTGAAGTCCGCGCGCCTAGAGCCCGTGCTCCACAACAAGAGAAGCCAGCACAGTGAGAAGCCCATGCACTGCAACGAAGAGTAGCCCCTGCTCGCCGCAACCAGAGAAAAGCCCGCGCGCAGCAACGAAGACCCAAAGCAGCCAAAAATGAATCAATCAATAAATAAATTTACCTAAAAAAAAAAAAAAAAGTCCTGGGTGAGATTGGATTTGGCCCAATGCATTGTGGGACGGGGGTGTGGGGCAAAAATTCCTCAGGAATTTAGACGTGAGCTTTTCAAAGAGCTAAGCCAGTTAGTCCTCATCTCAGATGGCTCAAGGGTCCTAATAGGCTACTGATATCTATTTGGCCTCTTTCTGCTGTTCCTTTCCTAAACAGTTCAGAGCAATTCCATGCAATTTGGTGATCAGCTGTAGAGCACCCAGAAACTCATAATCTGAATCATATATGACAAAATTTGCATACATGCACTTTGCTGGAGGAGAAGGTCCACAGCACTCGCCAGTGTCAGGTCCACACTTTCAACATCCTTGGAGGTTGGTGACCAACCCCAAACACAGAGGACAGCGGCTGGGCTCCCCTTGCCTGACTCCACCACAGACCTTTCTTCATTACCCTCCATTGCCACATGAAAGCTGAGGAAACAGAAGTTTGGAAAGGCTGGGTTGCTTACCTGAGACCCAAAGCTGACTAAGTGTGAGCAGGGACTTGAACTTGTGTCTCTATGATTCCAGAGCCTGGGCTCCTAGCTCCTTGGCTTCACTGCCTCCCTCTCTCCCAGTGGCTGTAGGTGAAAGTAGAAAAAAGTAGAGATTGGGGCCCTTGTGCTCAGGAAGGAGTTAATCTCATGCACATACAGTACTTGCTCATCTATGTAAAGGGTGGGAAGAGCAGTCCTTCAGCTGAAACCCCAAAGCCAGGGGCCGGTGACAAATATCCCCATATTCCAAATGGTAGTTGCCAGAGTCCCGCCCCCATGTTTGTTGAGAAGTGTCTACCATGTTTTCCTCCTCACTTTCTCAGCCCACATACAGCCTATTTAAGGGAAGAAGGGGAACTTGTGTGAGCATGTGAGGGCAATTCTATGTTATGTAAGGTGCCACGACGTTACTGCCCCCCGCACCTCCGTAGCTTTCAGCAGGGGCTCTGGAGAACCTCTTGTAGAGATGAGGAGACACAAGTGCATTCCCCAGCTGGAGGCCCACGGCGCTGAGGAAACCCCAGCCCCACCCCCGGGCACAGATACTTCCCAGCGAGTTTATCACACAGCCCCCCATGTTGGCGTGGAGGGCACCTCTCTGAGTAGGGACTGAGCCTGTCCTGCTGAGAGCTCTCAGGACAAGAGCTTGTCTGGAGGACGGTAAGGTCAAGGGCAAGCTGCACAGCCTGCAGGACCCCCTTGGCTTGTGGAAAGAGAATGTGAGTTTCTCCAGGACCAAGAGGAGGCCACAGAAGGTAACCCGGTTCTAACACTGTGATGGGGACCACCCCAGAGGTGGCAGAGGACCACCAAGGGAACACCTGCACCCCACAAAATACCCAGCATTGACAGACACCTTGAAAGCCAGGCAAGAATTTAGGCAGCCCTGGCCATCTGAAAAGAAACCCCCCCCTCCATTCCCCCCTCATTTTGCCTGGGCCCTGGAGAAACGAGAAGCAGAAAGATGGGTGTAATCGCTTCCTAGAGCTTCCATAAAAAAATACCACAAACTTGGTGGCTTAAAAAAAAAAAAAAAAGAAATCAATTGTCTCACAGCTCTGAAGTCTAGAAGTATGAGATCAAGGTGTCAGCAGGGCTGTGTTCCCTCTGATGGCTCTCAGGGATAATCCTCCCTTGGCTCTTCCAGCTTCTGGTGGTGACTGGCAATCCTTGGTGTTCTTTGGCTTGTAAACACATCCCTCCAGTCACACAGTCATCTTCTCCCTGTGTGCCTTCAGGTCATCTTCCCTCTGTGTATATGTTTCTGAGTCCAACTTTCCCCATTTTATAAGGAAACAAGTCATATTGGAAGAGGGGCCATCCTAATGACCTCATTTTAACTTGCTTACCTCTGTAACGACTCCATTTTCAAACAAGATCACACTTTCAGGGAGTAGTTACTAGGGTTTCAACACATCATTTGGGGGGGCCAGCAGGGGGAGGCTACAATTCAACCCATAACAGCAAACAAGGAAGAAGAAAGAAAGAATGGACAACCCATCCCCAGGCCACTGCAGGGCTCCACCCATCCACATGGTCAGGCCTCAGCTGCAGGGAGAGAGAAACTCTGAGCTGGATGGAGAGGGAGGCTATGCGTGGGCTGGGCTGGACCTTTTTAATACGTGAGAGTAAAATTTGTTCTGTGCCTGAAAATGATTGGGATGCTCCAGGATGTGCCTGCCGTGTCATCAAGGGGAGGTAAAAGAGATCCAGCCTGGCATGGGGAAAGCACTGAAGGGAGAAAAATAAAGCCATTTTCTGTTCGTACCCCATCGAGTTCAGCCCATTCAGTATATGGTTATATATACAAGAGGCAACTAGGGACCAAGGCAGCACAAAATAACGTCAAGTGAATTAAATCAAGTGTGGATTAAAAAATGCACACAGAGAAAGTCCTAAGATAAGGAAGAAAGACTCGGCGTGGGTCCTTGCAAGAGACAGGTCAGGGTGAGCCTTCAAAGATGGGGTAGATTCTGCCCAGTGGGCAGAGAGACAGGTGAGGGCAGGACCCGTGTGAGCAGAGGCCCAGGAGCCAGCCCCTGTGCCAGAGCTGGAGACAGCCTGGATTCCATCCCAGGAAGGTCTACGACCCTCTTAAAGAACTTTTATGTCCCCCATCCTGGGCGGCGGATGCAGATTTTATGTGTGTCTGCAGCAGGCTAAAACTGTCTTCAAACACAAAATTATAACGATCAGATGTCTGTCTCGGGGATGGGAGCATTTCCTTGAGCTGAAAGAGCACACAGACAGTGCCAGAAGTGGATTATAAATAACCCACTACCACTTCATTCTTTCCGACCACCGAGGCTCCGGGCCCTGAGCCTCTTTCTCCCACTTGGCAAGAACCCAGATTGGTTTTAATTAAGTTTTGCTTTCTCAGCTGCACGCATCCAGGTTTCTTCGGATCGAAAAGATGTGCTTCTGCCTCCTCTTGTCTCCTGGCTTTCGAGCAAAGCAGAGGCTCTTCGGGGGTCTTAGAATGTTGGAGAGAAAAGGGTACCACTCACCCGTCAGGAAGGAGTGTTCAGAGGGAACTACCCTACAAAGAGGAGGCCTGAGGTTAAGCAGAGAGGTTCTCGGCCAGGCGCTCACCTTCATGTCTGAATTCAGTGGGTCACAGGAAACCAATGGCAAGGTGTCTCTAAATGGAGGCTCCCACGCTAAGCTCCCGAATTCTGCTGTGATCAGACCCAAGACGGAAGAACTGATCTAGCCTCTTTTTTCAACCCGATGTCTGTTCTCCCTTTTAAGCCTGCTAGAAAGATTCAGCCAAATGGGCCATGTCCTTTTCACACCCACTGTCCTTGAAGGTGCCACCCTCCACAGTTGGCTCTAGCTTTTCTGCAGGACCCTTCTCCCACCCAGGTCCCCACCTCCAAGTCTAAGCCTCCCTCCGAGCCCAGGACTCACACAGCCAGAAGCTGCCTCCCTGGACCCAAGACCCCATCTCCTGTGCAGACCCAGGATCTTTATCTGTTGTCCTTCCTAGGGAGTCTTTTCTACTGGCCATCAGAGCCTTGTTTCCCAAAAGGGGTACTGCTGCAGACACAGAATGCCCTTTGCATTGCAGTTAGGAGGAAGTGGAGAGCCCAGATTCTACAGCCCCCTCGGGAGAGTAACGAAGCAGAATGCATATTGAAGCCTCTAAAGATTCTTGCATAGGAAACACACTTAACCCCATTTGAGTCAGTATTTCGCAGGCTCTTTTTTTTTTGTAATTAATTTATTAATTTATTTATTTTTGGCTGCATTGGGTCTTCACTGCTGAGCGCTGGCTTTCTCTAGTTGAGGCGAGCGGGGGCTCCTCTTGTTGCAGAGCATGGGCTCTAGGCACATGGGCTTCAGGAGTTGTGGCACACGGGCTCAGTAGATGTGGCTCGCGGGCTCTAGAGCGCAGGCTCAGTAGTTGTGGTGCACGGGCTTAGTTGCTCTGCAGCATGTGGGATCTTCCTGGACCAGGGATCGAACCCGTGTCCCCTGCATTGGCAGGCAGACTCTTAACCACTGCGCCACCAGGGAAGTCCCTTCCCAGGCTCTCTGATCATGGAAACCTCTGTTCCCATAACGTCTACCAAAGGCCCCCAGGTGTGGCATGTGGTATGTCACGGATCCCACTTTCGGAAGAGCCACAGGAAGGTCTGTGGTACAGTACCACCCTCCCCTGGCAGGTCTCTGAAGGCAGTGGGGTCCAGGGGGATGAATCCATGCCCCACGTCTGATTGGCCTTTCTCCTGACACCGTGCCCTGCACCCATGCAGCAAGCGGACACAGGGAGATGTTAGCTTGGGTGCTGAGGTAGAAAGAAGGCACGGGCTCCCCTTTTGCCTTTTAGGCCCACTCCGCAGTACCTTGTCATGTGTCCCCTCTCTTTTCCACAATCAGAAGGACACTGAACTTCGCCAAAAGGTGGCCAGTTTTTAGTAACCACAAAAAACCTCTCAGATGATGAGGTGTAGTAGGAAAACCATGGGCTCTGGGACCAGACAGACCAGACCCTGCTCTTCTCATCTGGACAAATTACTTCACCCCTCTGAGCCTCAGTTTCCTGATCTGTAAAAGAACCACTGTCACACCAGCTGCACCAGGTCAGCATGAGGTCTACCAAGATACTCTACAGGTGGGAATGGGCACCAAGTCTGGCACAGGGCGGGAGGTGGGGCCCACAACATGCTGTGATTCTGGATCCTGTCTGTTGGCAGACTTCCTTTTGCTGACACACAGGGTGTACATTTGGGTCTTCAATACTCCCCTTAGAGTCTCACTTAAATTAGTAACAGATTTGGTGGCTCCAGAGCTGATCTGGGGCCCCGGTGACATTGTGGGGAGCTCCTTCTGTTTGCCAGGCCCACTGGAATGGAACAGATCAGAGGTGCCATGGGAGCACATCTGAGCCCTGGACGAGGGGGCCACGGCCCTGGGATGGAGATCCGGAGAAGACGTTGATTCGGCTGCTCTGTCTCCATGGGCCCGGCATGGTTCCTCCCTCGGACCTCTGCCTCTGTCTACATACGCAGTGTTCTCCAGGTAGAAGCTCTTTCACCTAAGCCCTGGAGGTCTGTCTAACTGCCTCAGGGAGAGGATGGAGCTGGAGGAAACAGAGACTGGACATCTCTTTCTAGTGTGGAACTCCAGAGAGCCATCCCATCAGAAACCAGAAAGACTAATGGTCTCTGAAAAAGGCTGTGGAGGATACACAGTGAATCAGAGCCAGAGTTCCCAGATCCCATGTCTGGGTCTCCCTGGACACAGAGGGGAAGGGGAAACTGTAGGGAGTGATATCAAAAGAGTCGTCACTAGGTCCCAGAGAGATGAGCCCTACACACCCCCATTCCCTCACCAGGAAGGTAGCAAAATTCCCACATCGATCCATGCGATCAAGAAGACCAAAGCCTGGGCCCCATGGCCAGAAAGACCTGGGGAGGAGGAGAGGTTCTGGAAAATAAGGATACGTCTAGGCAGATGGGGCGTCAGGCAGCCTCACAGGTTCCCGTGCCCCAGTGGGTATCAGAAAGAGCACATTGGTCCTGTGGGTGCCCAAGCCTGGCGAGAAAGCAGCAGAGGACGCCGCCAGGCTGCTGGCGGCTTACAGACCGCGCAGCCACACCTCAGCACCACCTACGGGGCACACACCTGAGGCCCCGTTGCCTGAAGGACACGTCCAGGAAGCCAGGTGCCCCACCCACCCCATCACCTTCATGGGCTCCCAGGACTCACACATCCCAAAGGAAGGAAAGGGCCAGAAATGCACAGGGCCCTGTGTGTATCCCCTTGGTAGAATGGGAACCAGACACAGAAAGTGAATTGTTACAGGAAATTTGAGGAAATCCCATTTCTGGCACACCTGAGC